GTAAATATTGCGTCAAAATCAAATCAATTTGAGCGCGATTTAAACCCGGATGATTGTAACCCCTCTAAGTTCGTCTGCCTTGAGAAAGCTAGCGTGTCTCCGACATAGTGATAACACTCGTTGCCTTCTCTAGTGCAGCTCAACCAGGTCTCATCCAATTCGTCGATATTTGTGATATCACAAATCCTGGAAAATATGCGTTGTAGTCCAAACAAGTCATTCCTTGTAGTTTTTGAAAAGTGATTTCTGTTAAATAAAATATCTCCTTTTGAAGTGGACTTTGAACTTTGTAACTTTGCAGATCTTTTTTATGCTCAAACAGCAACATTACAGACTAACTAAAGTTGAAAAAGTGAAAAAGCATAATAGGACCCCTTTAACTAGAAAATGTCACTATACACCTGTTTTTAATCATTTTAGGTACCGAAGTGGCATCAGGGGGTATATGAAATCAGTTGTGCTGGATCTTCTGAGACGGTACCTTCGGGTGGAGATGCAGTTTCAGCAGGGTAAGTGTCCCAGTGTAATCTTAATACTACTGTATTTCAGAAGTTTTACCTTTTTTTTTTTTAAACATATCTGGAAAAAGTTCGATAAAGGACATAAACCTGAAAATGGTTAGTTTTAATTTAATTTAATTTAAAAATTTTAATTTTCTCATTCTCATGACAGCTCATTATGATAAATGTGTCATCAACCTAAGAGAGCAGTACAAGCCTGACATGACTCCAGTACTGGAGTGCATCTTCTCCCATGCTCAGGTCTCCAAGAAGAACATCCTAGTCACCATGCTCATAGTAAGATCCTTTCTGAAATACTTACCAGTGCTTATTTATTTTATTAAGCTGTGGCTTTGCAAGTTGATTCCACTCAGTCATTATGAAAATAGCAACAGAATGTTTAAGTAGGAGTAACATGTAGTTTGATTTAATTGATACATCTTGTGCTTATTTAAATTATAATGCAACATTTTTTTTCAGGACCAGCTCTGTGGCCGGGACCCGACCCTTGCTGATGAGCTCATGGTCATTCTAAATGAGCTCACACAACTCAGTAAAATGGATAACTCTAAAGTAGCGCTTCGGGCCAGACTGGTATGAACCTCAACGGCTGTGATCTTTGAACTCCAGCACTTATGTTAATGTTGACTCTGTTCAAAATAGCATTCTGTACTGTACTGTTTTATCAGTATGTAAAGTGTTTTCAACTTTGAGAATGTGACACTGAAGTATAGAGTAATGGCTGCTGAAATTTTAGAAAATAGTAAACTGCTATCTTAAATTGTAATATTTCACAATATTCCCATTTTTACTGTATTTTTACTGTATGCAGCCTCGATGAGCCTTTTCAAAAATATTTAAAAAAAAAATCTTACTTGAAAACTGGTAGTGTATACTGTGTAAAGTATGCACATAGGATGACCTACAACATTTTTTTCTAAAATAATTCAGTATCCCTTCCATTTCCAGTATAGCACCAGTATAGCTCTCTTTTTGCCTATATGATTGGACAGCCAAAAGTTACATTTTACACACAAAGCTACATTTTGTGAAAACAGAACATCACACTCTAAATAAAACATTGAATATTGTGTAGTCATGTGATAACAAAATAGCATACTCCTTTATAATGCTTATTATTTAGAAAAAAAATAGTTGGCAGCGTACAGTATACACAACACATTATGCACTAAGCAGTACATCGGCAATAACAACTCTCTATGTTTCTTCAGGTGTTGATTGCCTCTCATCTGCCCTCATATGAACTCAGACATAACCAGGTGGAATCCATCTTTTTATCCGCTATTGATATGTATGGGCATCAGTTCTGTCCCGAGAACCTCAAGGTAAAGCATCAGCGATTCTTTTGTCTTTACCGCTTTAACACTTTTATATATTGGATTATCTAAATCCTGCATTTGCAGAAACTCATCCTGTCTGAAACCTCCATCTTCGACGTCTTGCCCAGTTTCTTCTACCACAACAACCGGGTGGTTTGCATGGCTGCCTTAGAGGTCAGTAAAGCTTGACCTTTTCTTCCCATATGTTAGTGGTATGCAGTCAGGCCTTTCCAATGTATTGTGTGGGAATTCCTCAGGTATACGTACGGAGGGGATATATAGCGTATGAGCTAAACAGCCTTCAGCATCATCAGCTGCAGGATGGAACATGTGCAGTGGATTTCCAGTTCATGTTACCATCATCCCACCCTAACAGGTATAGCAGCAACCACATGTAGATTCTTTATATACTGAATCGGGCTTACAAATACGATCCAGATGCTGAAATCTCCAGTGTACTCCCATGACTTCGAAATACACACAATGTTATTGTTGTGACCTATTCTTTTGTTTATAGAAGCTTTTTGGTATGATCTTTATGAACGGTAGTTAATGAACTGAGCTGTGGTGCTTAACAGGCTACACTGTTCATGTAATAGAATAACAATACAATTTAACCTGGATATATAGTACAACTGTTTTCTAGTCTGAATGTTTCTGTATGATCCCCTGTAACATTTATTCTCCTTTTTTGACATTGTTTTCTGTGTATCTCTCCTCTGAAAGAGAGCCTTACGCCTCATTGAGCCAGTCCGTGCCCAAACCCACGTAATACGCTCTTTATTTTTTAGCATCTATTTAATTAAGTAATATATAACAGAGTGCACAAAAACAGATTCTTTCTTACACTCCTAACTTCCCACTTTGGTGTAAAGCCTGGTTTGAGTTTCCTTTACTAAGCTATACTGGGAGATGGTATTGAGCACAGCACAGGGGCAAAAGGATTTCACACCATCACGCTGGGGGGATTGATCAACTTGTTTTGAGTATGAAAGAAAAAGGTACATAAGTGATTAGATTGCAATTAGTTTTACACATAATCAGGTTTTAATGATTTAAAATAGACACTGAATCATTTGCTTTCTTTGTATATATAAGTCGACATGAAATCAAAATTGACCCTGTTTACTTTGCTACACATTCCTGGCCTCATTTGTGAACGATTCATCAAAAATGTTGTCTTTTTGTTTTGTCATCTTTCATCAAACTATAATAATCAGAAATATGTCACATTATGGAAGTAAAATGGGTTGTGAACACTTTTTCATGTTGATTTTAAATATTAAAGCATCAAAGCAAAACCTTTATAGAAATATTTACATTTCTTCAAAAGTCAAAAATATAGTTTTCTTTAAGTCAAAGCAGATTGGTCAATCACACTGAATCACGTTATAGAGATAGTTCACCCAAAAATGAACATTTTGTCATCATTTACTCACCTTCATGTTGTTCCAAACCTATGAGTTTCTTTCTTATGTTAAACATAAAAGAAGATATGTTGAAGAATGCTGGTAAGCAAAGAGTTGATGGTCCCCATTGGCTTCCATAGTTTCTTTCCCTACTATGGAAGTCAATACAACTGTTTGGTTCTTCAAAATATCTTGTTTTGTGTTCAACATAAGAAAGAAAGGTATACAGGTTGGGAACGACATGAGGGTGAGAGTAAATGATGACAAAATAAAACTATTAAAACTATTAAAACTATCCTTTAACTGGGTTGTTCTGTATATGAATAGTATAAGGATTGTAGCTTTAGATGTTTTCTCATAAAGTGCAAAAAGTGATTCCCTTACGGTTACATTTGCTTGCTAATTTTCACCCTAATGATAAATAATGATTCAAATCTATTTAGATTTTTTTATAGACAAATATTTCTACTAAGATTGTTTTTAAAGGGGTCATATGATGCTGCTAAAAAGAACATTATGGAAAAAATGAAATTGCATCATATGACCCCTTTAACATAATCATGATAGAAAGAGATCCAAAGTTAGAGGATGACGATCCAATGCTAACAACTCACCTGCTCTCATTTCAGAGGGAGCAGTCCTACTTTGAACAGGTAGAGTACAGCTCCTCCCTGCAACCAGTCAGCCTTGTGTGTACAGAACCACATAGTATGTCTGCAGCAATGCATGCTGGATGCAACTGTTTAATGACTTGAAGAAATTTAGCCTACAGGGTATTCCTTGTTTTAATTTGGATTTAATGACTCAGATCATTTTGTCAATTTATTGGGTAATTCTACAATCCTAAATTGGCCTTAAATGTGCTTTCAGTCAACACAGTATTAAAATGTGGAATGCATTTACCAATCCATTCCTGAACTCTTGCCTGTTTAATTTAGATGAGCCACATAATCCAATTTCACTCAAGCTGAGACCATCAGGAAGATCACCGAGTATTTTGCATGTAAACTTGTGCTTTTTCCATTCATCACAAGCAGTGCCATTAGTTTAGCATCGTATTTGGTACCCATAATTCCTTACTTTTGCCTTTTTGCACTCACACACACGCATACACCGTCCTCTCCCCTCTCAGATTGTCTGTTCCTGTGAATGATACGCGAGAGTTTCAAACAATGCGCCGTCAGGGCAGTGAGCTCTTCCTTGAGGGGGCACTGTCGCCCCCCTGTCAGAGGATGGGAGCCATGGTCGCCTTCCATAGTTTTGAACACTTCAAAAGGTGCCTTCACTTTTTTTTTCTTATAAATCGAGATTTTGATTAAATGGTTAATATAATGGAAGATGTGATCTGATCTGTGATTTGATTGTATTGTAGATGTTTTGATGAAGTGATCTGCCGCTTTGTGGATCCGCTTTGTGAGAGTTCTCTGTTCTCTGATGGCTGTTCCACCTTCTGTGATGGGGAGAGCTGTAAGGTCAGAGTTAGGAGAAGAAACAAATAGGGATGTAACGATTCACTCAACTCACGATGTGATATGATTCACAGTACTGATTTCACGAATTGAGATTTAATTTAATATAATTTTAGTAATTTATGCATTTAGCAGACACTTTTATCCAAAGCGACTTACAGTGCATTCAGGCTATACATTTTTTACCAGTATGTGTGTTCCCTGGGAATTGAACCCACGACCTTTTGCGCTGCTAACGCAATGCTCTACCGCTGAGCCACAGGAACAAATTTAAACAAACAAAAAGATTTAAGACAAATTATGAAAGGTGTTCTTTTATTATTGCTTGGACAAAATGCTGCACATTTCTTTGTGAAATTGAAATATGTCAAATAACAAAACTAAGCTGAAATTTTAAAACAAACCCCAAATCAAATAAATTATTTTCATATAAACAAACTAAAGCTTTGCCAGTGCTCTTTCCATATAAAATGAGAGAAAATGACTGCATTTTAATCACGATCCAAACAAAGATACTGCATACATGCAGCATGAGCAGTTTTTAATCTAAGTTAGATTATGTAATTTCAAAATTTGAAGCAAAAACAGAATGGTCTGACTTTAGTTTTGTGAAACTATATTACATAAAACATATCTGCACGAAAAACAAAAACAGCAGATGGGCTGAATGAAAACGTAAATTCACTTTCTGCCAGCAGGTGGCGCTTATGAAACAGTGGCAATATAGCGTTTGGTTGCCACTGTAAAGAAAGCAGCACTTTAATATGCATTATACAGAGGCAAGATGAAAATAAAATACCATCTAAACTTTACTAAAGACAGTCAGTTCCACTCAAAGATACATTCATATAAACTCAGTTGTATTGCGATTCGTTTAACGTCTCAACCAACTTGAATCGTCACGTATTTGTATTGATTGTCAAACGGCTAGGGCTTCATCATTACATCCCTAGAAACAAACTCTAATATTAACTCGAAAAATATTTCACCCAAAAATAAAAAAATATGTCATCATTTACTCAGCCTCATGTCATTCCAAACCCATTTGACTTTCATTTTTCTTTGAAACACAATATTTAGTTAATGGTTGATATCACTGTGCATATGGTCTGTCTCTGTTTCAGAACATGAAGGAAAATCCCATACACATCATAAATGTGTCAATCAAACAAGCAGACACTGAAGATGATGATGCTTTAGTCAAAGATTTCACTGCCTTTGCTAATTCTAAAGTAAGTATGTTAAAGATTTGTCCTTTTAGCTGTATGTGCTGCTCCATGACTTAACTCTCTTTGTGCTTCATTTCAGAAAACTCTGCTCTATGAGTATGGAATCAGAAGAATCACATTTTTAGTTGCACAAAAGGTGAATGCTCAGATACACAAATGACAAAATATGTTGTCAATCAAAAAAGATTAAAATGTAAAATGCTAAATCTTCCCCCTCAAGCGGGAGTTCCCGAAGTACTTCACATTCAGGGCCAGAGATGAAGTAAGTGATGCATCTGTTGATTCAGTCATTTAAAAATGTACATTGTAGAGTAACAACTGAACATTGTCCTTCTTTTTCTCTTTAGTTCCATGAAGACAGAATCTACCGTAACCTGGAGCCTGCTCTGGCCTTCCAGCTTGAGCTGAATCGTATGCGCAACTTTGATCTGACGGCCGTTCCCTGTGCCCATCACAGGATGCAACTGTACCTTCACGTTCAGGGCCAGAGATGAAGTAAGTGATGCATCTGTTGATTCGGTCATTTAAAAATGTACATTGTAGAGTAGTAACAACTGAACATTGTCCTTCTTTTTCTCTTTAGTTCCATGAAGACAGAATCTACCGTAACCTGGAGCCTGCTCTGGCCTTCCAGCTTGAGCTGAATCGTATGCGCAACTTTGATCTGACGGCCGTTCCCTGTGCCCATCACAGGATGCAACTGTACCTGGGTGCTGCTCGTGTGGAAGAGGGTGCAGAGGTCACAGATTATCGTTTCTTTATCAGAGCCATCATTCGCCACTCTGACCTCATCACCAAGGTAAACAATATTAGTACTAGACAGTATGAAGTATTGTATTTAATAGAAATGAAGCTACAATATATTTAAAACCTTTAAGGAATACTTATTAATTGTTACCATGCCATGATTTTATTTTTCACAGTCTTTTATTTTGTCTGTGAATATTTGGGTCAGAACTCATGTGATTACATTAGTCTAACTGGACACCATCATAAATGCATGCTTGAATAATCCTTGGCATAAATCCTAAAATATTTTACTATCCTGAATAGAATTTTTACACATATTTGTTATTTTTGTTTATAATACACTAGCATTTAAAATATGGGGTTAGAATTGTAAGATTAAAAAAAAAAAAAGCTTTTAAAAGAAATTTCATCAGCCATTACTCCAGCCTTGAGTGTCACACAATCCACAAGAAATCATTCTGATATGCTGATTTGGTGCTGAAGAAACATTTATTATTATTAGTGTATTGTAAGATTCTTGTGAAAACTGTGATGCATATTTCTTTGTTGCAAAATGTGTAGAAATTTAAAAGAACAGCATTTATTTGAAATAGATTTTTTTGCAACAATTTAAAAGTCTTTGTCACCTTTGAGAAATTGAATGCATTCTTGCAGAATAAAAGTATTAATTTTTAATTAAAAAACAAAACAAAATAAAAAAACTTACTGACCCCAAAGCTTTTAATGCTAGTTATTGATATACATTATGTCCCAAATTGCTTCCAACTTACACTTGTTTCAGACGTTGCAATTGAAAGTCATTGACAATAGATGTAAAAATGTTAATACTAATGCATAAATCTTAAATGTAAACCAGAAATCCAAAGTTCTTATTTCATATTTAAAAAAATGACGTAGGTTGTTGATGGGTATTTGTAGGGTATTTTTATATATGTCCTATATTTAAAAAAAAAAAAACGTTTCTGATTTTATTTTTTTCACTCTTTCTGTAGGAGGCCTCGTTTGAGTACCTGCAGAATGAGGGAGAGAGGCTGTTGCTGGAAGCGATGGATGAGCTTGAAGTGGCCTTCAGTAACATATCCACTCGTACTGACTGCAATCACATCTTTCTCAATTTTGTACCCACTGTTATTATGGATCCCTCAAAGGTTAGATTCAAAAACATGAAACTCTTTTTCTTTTAACTCTTAAATGTATTAAATCATCGCTACTGCCAGTGTTCCTGAGCTGTATTGCTCAGTCTTCTTTTCCTACAGATAGAGGAGTCTGTCCGCTCAATGGTGATGCGGTACGGTAGTCGTTTGTGGAAGTTGCGTGTTCTCCAGGCTGAGCTAAAGATCAGCATCCGCCTCACCACCAGTGGAGATGTCATTCCCATCCGCCTCTTCCTCACCAATGAGTCCGGCTACTATTTGGACATCAGCCTATACAAGGAGGTCACTGACCCCTCCACTGGACAGGTACAATCTACATTCACTGGATTATGATTATACCACATGACACATTGGCATAACACAGAGTAGTCAAGGAGGAATAAATGTTTTTATTTTTTCAGTTACAGATTTCAAAGGTACATAGACTGATATCTGACCCAGTTGTTTTTTGAGAGTCACTGCTCAAGTGCAGAACATTCAATGGGCGAAAGTTCAGTGGTACATCAGCTCAGACACAACAGCAGCTGCTTCATAGATCTGTGTTTATCAATATGTTTTTGTACTCAGTACCATTTCTTCAGCTGACCGTTTTCTTCCTACCAACATCAGAACAGTTTTTTTAGAGGGTGCAAGACTGCTAAACCACAAGTCAAGTCAAGTCAAGTCACCTTTATTTATATAGCGCTTTTAACAATACAGATTGTGTCAAAGCAACTGAACAGCATTAATTAGGAAAATAGTGTCAATAATGCAAAATGACAATAGTAAACACAAATTTTTCAGTTAAAGACAGTTCATCATTGAATTCAGTGATGTCAACATCCAGCTCAGTTTAAATAGTATCTTTGCAATCAAGTCAATGGTATCGCTGGAAATGAAGTGTCCCCAACTAAGCAAGCCAGAGGCGACAGCGGCAAGGAACCAAAACTCCAGTACCCACAACAGGTACCCACAACAGGTACCCACAACACAGGGTCATGAGTGTAGCTTGCACAAACAATGGCTAATTCAATGTCGTATATGTGCTTTCATCTCTATTTGTCTGTGCTCTAAAGTGCATTTGCATTTCCTCTTGCCAACTGTGGACCTGATTCACTACTGACTGCCACATTAGACCTCCATGAAGTTGGCACCCCATGAAAAGAAATAATCACCAAAACTATGCCATTCGTTTGTGATTCGTTTGTGCTGATTTGTGCCACAAAAACGAACGTTTGTGCTGGTTTGGTGTTTGAGATATTAAACATTATTTTTTGACCGTGTGACGTCACTCTTCACTCCATGTTGCCCAAATTGCTCCAAATCAGTGCAGTTCGTTTGTGCTGGGTTTGTGCTGTTAAAACAAATGCTCTGTGTATTTTCCTTCCTTAGATATAACCAAAATGTTTTCGGGAGCTGTGACGTCACTCTCCACCCCAGTTCGTCTAAATCGCACAAAACCAGTGTCATTCGTTTGTGCTCGATCTGTGCTGGTTTGTGCCATTGAAATGAACATCAAATATATTTCCCCTTCTTAAAAATAACAAACAGAATTCGAGACAGTGACATCACTCTCCACCCCATGAGAGTTTTGGTTATATCTAAGGAAGGAAAATACACGGAGCATTTTTTTTAACGGCACAATCCCAGCACAAACGAACTGCACTGATTTGGAGCGATTTGGGCAACATGGAGTGAAGAGTGAGGTCACACGGTCAAAAAAATAATGTTTAATGTCTCAAACACCAAACCAGCACAAACTTTCGTTTTTGTGGCACAAACGAATCACAAACAAATGGCTTTTCATGGGGTGCCAACTTCACGGTGGTCCACATTAGCTTGGCCATCTAAAAATAGGAAAAAACTACATTTTTGATACTGTTGCTAGGCTTTTTTCCTATTTGAACATGATCTTGAGGGTTTCAGTCTTTCCCCCATTTAAGTAGATAAAAGCTGTACTTGCATTACTGTAAACCAATAAATTACCGAAACTATGTCCACTGAGTGAGACTTTGATGTTGAACAATTCTAGACAGGCTAGAAATCAAATACTACAGATTTTGTTAGAATAGATTACCTCATAAGTATTTGCTTTGCAAATTGCTGTTGTAACAGTGCAACAAACTTATTAACTCCACGGCCACCTATGTCCACAACAGTATCTGAAGACCCCATGGCTTCTCCATTTTTTTCATAATTTACTGAATAAGGGTTAAGGATAAGGATTTTTTAAAATGCTTACTTACATCTGCAGATAATGTTCCAGTCGTTTGGAGACAAGCAAGGTCCACTGCACGGCATGCTAACCAACACACCATATGTCACAAAAGATTTACTGCAGGCTAAACGCTTCCAGGCTCAGACCCTTGGCACCACATACGTCTATGACTTCCCTGAGATGTTCAGACAGGTGAGGTGATTCAGTTAAGATTAAACTTGTTCTCACTGTGATTGTGGCAGTCTTGTTTCTGGGATGTATTGTTGGATTGGCATTAGCCCATTATCTTTTCTTTCTGTTGCCAGGCTTTGTTTAAGCTTTGGGGACCAGGAGACAGCTACCCTAAAGACGTGTTGATGTGTAATGAACTGGTCCTGGATTCTCAGGAGAGACTTGTGCAGATGAACAGACTACCAGGAGACAATGAGGTGCATCAATGAATTCTCACTGTATTCTTTGAGGGATTTCATTTGCACAGGACTAATTCTCTATGGATCGTAGGAGAATGCTGTTCATCAATCAGAATTATGGAACTTGTTTACATTTTAGTAATTTACCTTGTAAAGAAAAGATAGTAAATGTAAATAACTTTTTCACAACAATGAAGTAAATGGATAAGCTCTGTGCAAGTCATTTGTTTGTCCTCCCTTTCCAGATTGGCATGGTGGCTTATCGCATGAAAATGAAGACTCCAGAGTACCCAGAGGGCCGAGATATCATTGTGATCTGTAATGATATTACCCATATGATTGGCTCATTTGGGCCCCAGGAGGATGAGCTTTTTTTACGGGCATCTGAGCTGGCCAGAGCAGAGGGGATTCCACGTATCTACATCGCAGCCAATAGTGGAGCTCGAATCGGCCTGGCGGAAGAGATCCGCCACATGTTTCAAGTGGCTTGGATTGACCCAGATGACCCTTATAAGGTGACCGAATGCTTAATGTGCGGTCAAATTTACCGTTGCTTGGCTGGGGAGTTTCGTGTTCATTTCACTGTAATATCGCTAATGTTTTTGCATCTTTGTAAAATCAAACCACCACTGACTCTTGGGTTTTTTCATTTTATAAATCATATTTGATGCATGTTTGCATTGTTTACCCAGCTTTTGTTCAAGTCTATTATTCTGTTTTGCCCATGCAGGGTTTTAAGTACCTATATCTGACGCCTCAGGACTACACCCGCATCAGTTCCTCTAATTCTGTCCACTGTCACCATGTAGAGGAGGGAGGCGAGTCCAGGTAAGCCTACTGGTTTCAGTATGCACAGAAAGAACTATACCCAAACACCTCTCTCTCATCAGCTCTTATGTGTTCAAATAATGTCTCAGGTACATCATCACAGACATCATAGGGAAGGAAGAGGGTCTTGGAGTGGAGAACCTGAGGGGTTCTGGCACCATAGCTGGAGAAACTTCTCAGGCTTATAAGGAAGTCATCACCATAAGCATGGTAAGATCTAACATCTACCCATAATCTCATCAAACAATTTACAGTATGCCAGGAACAAAATGCCAATGTTTATTATATATGCAATATATAACATATTATCTATGTTTTGGTCATCTAGTAATCATTCTGTGTTCCTCTAGGTCACATGTCGTGCTATTGGAATCGGTGCGTATCTGGTACGTCTAGGACAAAGAGTAATTCAAGTGGAAAACTCCCATATCATCCTGACTGGGGCTGGGGCACTAAACAAGGTGTGGAATTTCACATCTGCAGTCACACCTTAAACTGTGTCATGAAAAAAATAATGAAGATGAATAAAAAGTGTCATGTTTATGTGGGCTGTGTTTCCTTTATTCTTGAGAAAAGATGAAGCCACTTTAATTCAGTGATTTAAGTCTTGAATTTTTTTATTCTGTATTTCTTTGTAGGTGCTGGGTCGTGAAGTCTACACCTCCAATAACCAGCTTGGAGGGGTTCAGATCATGCACAACAATGGAGTGACGCACAACATTGTGCCAGATGACTTTGAAGGGGTGCTAACTATACTACAGTGGCTATCCTACATGCCAAAGGTAGTCTGTTCACAGATACTGTAGGGTGAATCTCAAAACAAACAAACATGCCCAGTTCATATTTATCCCCAAAATAATAATAATAAAAAACAGAAATCATGATTTAGAATTATAAGCAAATGCAGCTTAGTTTAAAATTTTTTTTTAATTAGCATAAAAAGGCACAAATTCTACCATTATATACACCCCTGTTAAAAAGTCAAATACTTTTATTTAGCAAAGATGCATTAAAGGGATAGTTCACCCAAAAATGAAAATTCTGTCATTAATTACTCACCCTCATGTCGTTCCAAACCCATAAGACCTTCGTTCATCTCCGGAACACAAATTAAGATGTTTTTGAAGAATTTCGAAAGCTCTCTGACCCTCCATAGACAGCAAGGGTACTACCACGATCAAGGTCCAGAAATGTAGTAAGGACATCGGTAAAATAATCCATGTGACGTCAGTGGTTAAACCGTAATTTTTTTGAAGCTACAAGAATACTTTTTGTGCCCAAAGAAAACAAAAATAACTTTATTCAACAATTCGTCTCCAAAATGGCGACAGGGTGATGCGGAGGAGACAGTTGAACCCCTGATGTCACATGGATTATTTTACAGATGTGCTTACTACCTTTCTGGACCTTGATCGTTGTAGTACCCTTGCTGTCTATGGAGGGTCAGAGAGCTTTCAGAATTCATCAAAAATATCTTAACTTGTGTTCCGAAGATGAACGAAGGTCTTATGGGTTTGGAACGACATGAGGATGAGTAATTAAATGACAGAATATTCATTTTTGGGTGAACTATCCCTTTAAGTGACAGGCTTAAGGGACCTTATAATGGATCTTAATGACTCTAAAACGGTTGTGTATGTACTTTATATATATATA